GGAGTAATTGCTTCAGAATTTACTGGATTGGAGTGACTGCCGAAAACTTCCTCTTTCAGGTCTCTGGGTGGAGAATAGTAGGTGGGACTCTGGTGCGAGGGGGATAACTTTCTTAAAAACAAAAAAAAACCAAAAAAACCAACCCAATAAACTTAGCATTAGTCTTTGGGTGTTTTTATTTCTAGCTGGGCCGGTGCGAACAAGTATGTCATTGTGCTTCATTGCAATACTTGCTTATCTTGTGAGAGTCCTGTGAATCTTACCGAATTAATAAGCTTGATTCCTAAGTCATTTGCCCTGTTCTGGAAAGACAAATGACCATAAGCATGCCAGATCTGGTCTTAGCTGATGTGGAATAGCAAGAAAGGGGGAAGAAAAAAAAAAATTAATACTGTTTTACAATTGGCGTACTGTGCACTAATACCGATCCAGTTACTTTGGCCCATTTCAGCAGTAATCAAGTATTTTGGTAGCAGCTTGCAGCTTAGTCTGATTTCAGGCTGACTTATTCTGGAAGCCAAAGTGCACAAGGCTTCACCAGGAAGCAAAATTAAAAGAAAAACTCTTGCTGCTGTGTTACGAAGAATCTGTTTCCCTGCTGGGGAGGCAGACAGTAAAAAAAAAAAAAAAACCAAGAATTGGAGAAATTAATGGACATCAAGTTAAGAAATCGATTCTAAAGGATTATCAGGGATGTGCTGTGGTACAACGCTTCTGGCTGGTGGGAAAGTATGGCAGAAAGTTCACATGTTGTCCCAAAATACTGTCTCCTGGTGGTGTCACTGACGATGGAGTACTGGGCTAGATGGTCTGCCCCAGCGAGGCACGGCTTGTCTTCCTGACAGTGCTGGTGAATGGTGTTATTAAGGTGGTGCGGCGTGCTGGAAAGGCCACACTGAAGTGCCCCAATATTGGCGATGCTGGTGCTGTATATTCACCTTGAGTAGGGTAAATATTGCAGATCAACTTGTTTGCATTCACCAGCGGAGTTTGCATACCGGGGAGTAAAAATTTAACTGCAGTATACCGCTTCAGAGCTGGTGAGCGGGGGGGCTGCGTGGAGGTAGGAATAAATCGGGGAGGGAGGCAGACAAGATCTCTTCGCTGGGAGAAATGTGCGTGTGCAACTGCGGACTGTCCACGTAATTCTGTGTGCTGGAAGGCAGCACGCTGCCCCAGTGCCAGCTTTGCTTGAAATTTTTCATTCCAAAGGCGTGCTTTTAAAGACACCGGGCTTTTTCTTTCGTCTTTGTCTAAAATGGTTGCGTTAAGCAGAAAAACCAGGCTCAAATGCAGAAGTGCCTGTGTTCTCCGGTTTGTTTTCGAAATTATTCCTGAACTTGTCTTTTTTTTTTTTTTAAGCTTCTGTTGAGATGGAGGCTAATAACCAGTCAGCATACACTGCTTCCAGCTAGCTCTGCTCTGGGAGTATTTGTGGTATGCATAATGGCTGGTGCTGGGGGAAGAGGAGAGGGGGGGGGGAAAAGTCAATTCTATTTCTTCTTTCAAGTGCGGATTGTTCTTCTGAAAGTGACGCCCTTGGAGAAAAATGTATCTTGCAAGCGTAAGGCTAAGATCGCCTGCGGGGTATGTGGCCTGAAGACGGCAGAAAGATGGAAACTACCAGCAAGATGAAGCCCCATTCTGTTCTGTCCCGCACAGCCAAGTAAATAATTGTAGAACAAGCCGGCAGACAAAAGAGCTGGCTCAGCTTATGACACAGGGGCGGTGGGAATCCTGTCAGCACAAAACAACAAGGGAGTGGAGTTGCTTGTCGGGGAGTTAGTTGCAGTCCCGAAAGAAGAGCCGGGGAGGGAGGGATGTGTGTGTGTGTGTGCGTGTTCAGATCACTCCTCCGACTTGCTCGAATCCCCTGCAAATCCATCACGGCTCCGACAGCCGAAGGCTCCCGCAGCCGTCCTCGAAAAGGGCGTTGTGGGCTGCCTGTCTTTGAAGAAAAATGAGGTTTTAATTCCGCGGGTGAGAATGTTGCTTTTAGCAGATGGTTGGGTGTGGGTCATCGTCCCGTGGGTTCTGGCATTGCTCGGCGATGTCTCTGGTTACCAGGGAGAGAGCTGTGTAGGAAAGGCAGGACCACAGCCGCCGTCTTGCTGGTGTTGCTTGCTCCTTTTCCACTCGAGGCTGGCGCGCAGCGCTAGCACGAGCGATTTTGTCAGGCTGTTACCGCAGCACTCACATCCGTACGCGCGTTCCTTCGTGGAATGTAAAAAATATAGCCAAGGTTTTCAGGCGTCAGCTGATACTTAAATGCCTCCTTAAACGCAGCGAGGTAAGTCTCCAGAAAGCGGCTGTCTGACTTTCAGAGAGTGGTTTGTGGTCTGGTTTTTGGGGATGTCTCGTGTTAGATTCTCAGAAATCACCAGTAGTCACTCCTGAAAATCCTGACCTAAACTTTTACAGAGGTCATAGCGTTTATTAAGATAAGTCAGCTTAAAATAATTACTTTGCTTTTGCTCTAGGGTCTAGGAATGAGTGGCTGAGATTCCATAACCTTAAGTATGTGCCTCAAGTGGTGTGTGTATCGGTCTTGCTCAGGAGATACTCATTAATCCAGAGGGGGTGAAGGTCCCAGGAATAAAAAAAAGTTGCATTTCACACGGTGCGTTTTTTGCCTACTTGTTATTTCAGATATCCGGGGCCCAATTCAAGGATTTTTAATTCCTTATGCAGGTCACCGGGTATTTTTCTTTTTATGATGTAGTGGGAGGAGAATTCTTCATTAATAGCTGATGTTAGATATTTGGGTTCCCTTTTACTGGAAGCCGTTTTCCATTTACCAGTTGCTGCTTCTCCTGATGTCATGGTTTAGGTTGGTTTCGATGAAGTCGTCATCCCTGTGACAGTCTGCTTCTGCTGTAACACCTAACTTGGAGTTCGTGCTGACATGTAACTTAAAAGTACAGCACCGGTGTCTGGAGCAGAGCAGGGTCTTGGTAACAAACACTCCTTTTTTGTTTAATATAACAAATAATGGATGGGAGAAGAGAAGCAAGAAACCGCTTGTCATAATGACGGTAGGCAGCAGCCTGCAAACAACTTGCATCAGAGAATTCCCCCAGATCTTCATCTCAAGGGGCGATTCATCAAGGTTACGATGCTATATTGCGGCGACTGTGCTATATTTGGAGGCGCAGGGCAAAGGAGCAGAGCGAGGAGCTCATTTATATCCCAGGGAAGATAGACTCACTTCAGGATTTGTTCGGGCGCTAAATTTATCTTTAGGAATAGTTGCAGCTTGTCTCCTTTGGTACCGATTTCTAGAAATTCTAGCTAACACTGGAGAACGGTAGGTGGAAAGAGCTCCAATGTGTTGTGTTCTTACGCTTCTGTTTTTCTCACTTCAGGGTAAAGCTGAGGCTCTCTTGTGTGGCAGTGAGAATTTCTCTTCCCACAGCCATATAGCGCTGAACAAATCTTCTTGTCACTTACGTTTTGGTTAATTCCCCTGAGTATTTGTGAATAGGAGTCATTCACAAAGAGTGCAACTTTTCCTTAAGGATAAGGAAGCAGATTCCTGTTTTGCAAAGAATTGTGTTGGTGCTGCAGTCACTGGGTCGTGGGAGCACATAAAAGAGACTTAATAAAAAAAGGTAATTAATCTGTTAACTTCAGGCCATTCTTTTTCTTTCCTTCCCCATCCTCCCTGCCATTCCTGAAATCACTAAAATGTTTTCAAAACCCGTCTTTGAAGCTTGTAGATATTGAATTGAGCTCTGTTATTAGGAAGACTGGGCAGGGTTTATTCCAATTTCAGCAGAGCTTTACCAGGCAGCTTGTGCACGCGGTAATTATAACTTGGTTCTCCGTGCTTGAGAACTTGCAGCTCAGGGCAGTAGTCCTGATCTTATCAGCGTTTTGTAGTACAACAGTTTTCTTTATAATAGCATCTGTTTCACTTCCTAAGGCTTAACTCTACCCACAAAAGGAATTTCTGTGGATTCTCTGATAATCCTGAAATTGCTGCCCCGGTACCTTTTCATTGACTCAGTGCTTTCAGTTAACCCATGGGGTAGGGGAGGAGCCGCCTTTTTCACGGCAACATTTAGCCTAGTCCCAAAGAGGGTATTTCAGCAGATTTCTGGCCTAAAAACTCTGTCAAAACTGCAGGGCTGGCGTGAATCTCAATCATTCTGCACCTCCCTACTGCAGAAGGGTTTTTTTTCCTCTTTTCTTTTATGTGCTAAAGCTTTCCTGGGTTCTCTCTGGCCGAGTTTGCCATTTGAATACAACGTCGTAGTCCAGGCAAACCTCATCAGGCTTTTTACCTGAGCCCCTCTCAAACAGCTGGATGGAACTGGGGTGAGGGGAGAAGGGAGGGACGTGGAAAAGGAGCATTTCCAATTTCTCAGCAGTGACCCTCTTGGCACACTAACTTCAATTTGTGCCGGCAAAACTGGCGAAGGAGACTATGAGCTGCTGTTCTCTTTGCCTTAATACTTGGCTTTGGTTTTTATATTGAGCGCAGAGTTTTGGTGAGTTCTCTTAGTCTCTGGGAGGGACAGATGTGAACTGGTAATATTTGAGAGGTCCGTGTCCTGCGAGGGGAGGGGTTGAGATTGCTTGTTTGTAAGGTTTTTGTCCTCGAAAGAATGGGCTGGACGAAGCAGGAAAGCGTTTGTCACCCCTTTTTCTGTCTGCTTGGCAACTCAGGGTTAACTCTGCCTTTTGAAAGCGGGATTGGAAACCAAAATTGCTCTGGACATCTGAGCTTTCCTCTAATAAGATATTCCAGGTGGTTAGGGAGTAATCCTAAAATAACTCCAGATATAATTGCTTCTGAAGCCCAGGCCCGCAGCCTCTCGGGGAGGGGGTGGTCCGGGAAGGGGGGCTCCGATGGCCTCCGAGGTGTCTGCAGCGCGGGGAAAGCTTCCCTGGCTCTGCCGGCGGCTGGTGAAGGTGGCCGGCTCTTCCCAACACCCAGCTCAGGGAAGCATCGGGGGCTCCAGCACAGCCGGTAGCACTTCTACCACCTTTTTCTGCAAGAAAGCAGAGAAATTCTTGCCCGTGGTAACGCAAGGGCTGTTTGTCAAACATCAGCAAATTCCCTTGATGCAAAGGGGTGGAGGGAGAGGCAGAACTCTCTCCCCGGAGAACGACCTGCTTCTCTGAACACTGTTTTTTTTTTTTTCCTTCCTCCTACTATTGCCTGACTTATACAAAGGTCTTTTAATGACTTGTGAGGATATATTGATTTCTCAGGTTCCTGCTGTTCATACGCAGGAGGGCTTCTCAGCACAGGGTAACTTTGTTTTCCGAGGAGGAATGGCAAAGGAAGTTTGATACCAAAGCTCCCACCGAGCTCTCTTCGCTGTGCAAAATGTAGTTTGTTCTGCATACGGAGCACCTCTCGCTTCAGGAGCTTCGTGGGGCTCTTTACCGATTTATTTACCTGTTGGGGTTGTGCTCCAGTCGCTGTTCTGACCGCTCGCCGTGTTTGGGTGTCTTTGGTTGTCGTAGCCTTGGCACGGACCCAAAGGTTTCGGTGAGCGGAATAGTCCCTCAAGATCAAAGCTGAGGCCTGGGAAAGTGCCCGTCGGTGCTCGTGCTCTGTTCTCTGAATAAATAAGGCTTTATTCCCCGGCTGCTGAGCTGACATTTCCCGCCAGCCCGAAACGTTGCTAGCTCCGCCACCCAAAACAAACCTGGGCTCTGTCCTCACGTCTCCGTGACCCACGTGTCTTTTCGGCGTGACAGCCCTTGCTGATTTACACCGCGGCGGCCGCTGCTTGCAGCGGGGCTGGATGAGAAGCCACTCTCCTTATCTCTGCTGAGAGCTTAACCTGGGGAGCGGTAACTGGCTATAAACCTTTCCAGCTATCGCGGGAGGAAATGCTAATGCTGTCGGCTGTCTCTCACCTCGGATCACTCCTGTGTCACGCCAGGTGATACCCAGCTCTGCCAATTTTCTGGACATATGGCAAAACGCCGATGGCTTCAGCCAGCTTTAAGCTCCTTTTCACTAGCCAGGGGTGGGGGACCGTTACTTCTGTGCTCTCGAGCATCTTGGGACGTAGGGAGGGGCAAGTGGGGTGCATCCCTTCCGGTTTTTCCTCTGTATTGAACTTTAATCTTCTTTATTTTTTCCCAATTACTCCTTTTTCTTCAAAGACAACAAGTAAAATAACTTCTAAAGAATCTTCAGTCTCGTGGAAAGTTTTGTTCCGGGAAATTTGATCAAGTTCAAACCCACTGGCAGTAGAGCATTGTATCTCCTTTAAGCCCTCTTCTCTTTCCTGTCCCCGTCCTCAAATGTAGCGGAATAAGCTCTCAGCATGACCAAAGTTCCCTGTGAAAGCAAGTGTTTTGCTTCTCGGAGCACCCGGTTTAACGCCACGAGCAGTTTTGCTCTCTGGATTTATAACCAAGTAAGTAGAAACTGGGGAAGACAAATCGGAGTGTGTGAAGTTGAGGATGGGAAATAGCTGCCGCCTCCGGTCTGGCTCTTACTCTGACTGTTCACGGAGGTTTGTTGAGCCGAGTTAACCATCAGTGGGGTTTTAGGAGCAGCTGGATGTTACCGTAATTAGCAAAAAACCTGTGTTTTTAATCTCTGCTAGCAAAGGACACCCAGATGAATCCTCCTGTGAACAAACCCGGTCTTCAGATCTCTTCCTAGAGAGGGCTGGGAATTGATCTGCTGTAATAAACAGCTGACATAACAGAAGTGGCAATAATCCCCCATTAAATATCTTTCAGTTGATGGGACTCACTGGATAATTGACTTTCCA